ATAAAAAAATACCTAGAGATTAAAAAACCTGAGGAAGAAATTTGACAGTCAGGAGTATTGTAAAATTACAATAGAATGGAGTAGGGATAACCATCAATAGCTTAAGTGGCAGGCTAATGGAAGAAAAAAATCTCAACATGAAAACTCTAGTCAAAGACAGACTGTTTTACATGTATTTTTCCAAGTACAGGGTGGCTCATTTAAGTATAAACAGTTTTATTTGGCTATTGCTCACATAAATTTGTACTATTCTCAATAATATTTTAACACAAAGTAATGTTGACATGAGAATTTTATTTGGTCAATTTTCATGGAGTTCTGCCTCCAGATTTTAGAAAAAATTCCATTTTTACTGCAACTCAAAACTTTTGCATACACATGCCACTGCGACCTTGCTAAGTATAAGCTGCCATATTTATATAATGAGTTGATGGATTTTTATATAACTTTACATAAATGTACTCACTTCATGTATTAGTAGGCTCTCAAAAGCAAACAGCCATAAACTGAACGAATTATGAATAGCTGCATATTGAAAAATGTTCCAAAATTTTATGGGACAGAGTATATATGATCAAAAGCTTTTACTCTTTCTAATGAAGGCACACAGGCAGCAGCACTCTTGTGTGCAGGGAAAAACCTATTCATTCAGCTGTATATTCCTGTTCATGAACTACTTACTAGGCAAGAGTTCCTGCATGAAATTTCAAGTCATACCACATAGCAAACATAACACATAATACATATAGCATGCATAAGGCATAATAATCAAGGAGTAATCAAACTTAGTGCAAAAAATATGTCCGTCTGAAGTAAAGGACTGCACACCATTCCATTTTGAGAGCAGGAGTAACAAGTTTGGAAGGAAGTAACCAAGGTCAAAATGAATGTAGCAGGGAATAGTACCTTATTTTCTTATACTGCAGCAAATAATCATTTGGTTGATGATTAAAAAAAAAAGATGCTTTCTAAAATAAATGTGAAAACCAATCAATTTATCTCCCAAAATCAGTGCTTTCCACCTTGAGGTTCAAAGATGATTAATATGCTGTTCCAAAGTGCAATGCAGCATATGGGAGCAGGAGAATCCTATTTATGGATGTTTTCAGATTGATACGTGAGAAATTTTCAAAACGTTAGGAGAAAATAAGCACCAATCTAAAGACACTGGCATATCTCCTAGTTCCTTACTCAAAACAAAAATTTTCTTGATGCCACCATAAAATTTGTTAGTAATTATGTAGGGAAATAAATGCTGTTAGCGAATACAGTGTATGTTTTATATTAGGAGAGTTATTACAAAAAAACCTTGTAACAGTATTTATGGCAGGACTAGGTACTACATTCAAACTTGAACACATTTGTTGCAATATCTAAAAATATTCCCAAGGCATTGTATGCAGCAACCTATTCTGTGGAACCACTATTCAAAAGCTTTTTTGGGAGCTCCTCTTTCATTGTGCTGAGCATGTCATTGACTGCATTGAGGAAATCCATGTCTGTGTAAAAAAATAAAAGCCTCCTGAGCTGTCTGGTTCATTTGGGGGAGCAGAGAATAGTCACATAGTGCCAAGTCCAGAGAATGGGAAAGGTTGTAGGAATCTTCTAATCTCTAAGGGAAAAAAAGTCTTTCTGATTCAGAAATACTTCTGTGCGGTAACAAGCTGCCTCACCAAGTTATTTATAAAGGGTAACTTTAGCATAAAATCCATTTCCTGTTAAGAAGACTGCCAATATTGTATTTTGCAAACTACTTAAACACTTGACTTTGACAAAACTTCTTCCTCAGGGAACATGCATTTTTGGGAGTGCTGCTTTCTGGTGGAGTGAAAGCAATGTATCCAGGTTTCATCATTTAATGTCCCTGACTAAGATTTTCCCTGGTTGAGTTTTTGCAGCATGAAACTGCAGAAGTCCACTTATTGCTCCTTCTGCACTTGAGTGAAGAAATGGAGGGTGAACACAGAACAAAGTTTTCCAAGACCAAACTTGTCATGAAGGATGGACATGGCTTATGATCAAACTCCTAAAAACTCCTAAATCATCTGGTAAGTGCTCTCTGCTCTTTGATCATGTCCTCACAGTTCATATTTTTGTTACCAGAAACAATTACTGACTGCCCTTGACAAGGAGCAATTCAATTCTTTCTGTTCAAAAGAAGATCACTATACCAGCACTGGAAGGTTAAAAGAGAAAAGCAAGAGTCACCAATGCATCATGCATTTCCTCATAAACCTGAAGATAGGATAAGCTTCTCTAGAGACAAGACAAAGATTATGAGATGTATGACTTACTCATGTTAACTTTGGCAAACATCTTTGGCACATTCATTATCAAAGAGAAAATGGTTTCCCATGCTAACTGGATATTGATATACTGGCAGAATCAATTAGAGATGCTTGGTTAGAAAGTCAGTAAATGACAAAACTTTTGGAGCAACCTCCAAAAGTCGTGGGTGGGACAAAATTTAAAGCTTTTTTTCTGAAGTCACATACATAATGTTATCTTAAGTCTGTCTGTAAAACAGTTATATCTCCTCCATAGAGCAATGAAAAAAAAAGATCAACCAATATCCAAATCAAAACAGATATGGAGAGGACTTGCCTTTGCTACAAATACACCAATGAAAGTGGATGCCAATTCAGGACCCGAGGAACCAGCTGCCATGAATGTTGCACCAGCAACATCAGATGACAGATGTAGACCTAAAAAAAACATTGTTAATAAATACCACATCCATATTTGGGGATCTTGCATATTAGCTGACAGTGCCACAAGCATAATCCTTGCAGCAACATAAGAAAATGCATCAAAGTCTATTCCTATACATGGATGAAAGAAAAAGTCAGATTTAAAAAAATAGCTTGAATCACAAACGTCACTTACTATTTGAGATTGCATCAAGCGATGGAACAAAGTAGTTATCACACACGATGGCCAAAGCCACAAACAAGTAGAGACAGACCACAATATGTACTATGATTCCTCCAGAGTCTCTCACAGTAGGGCTCATTAATGGTTTGGGGAATTGCAGAAGAGCAGGCATGCTACAATTCGCATATGGAACATCTAAAAGACACAGGGAATATCTCTCAAATCAGGGTCACCATGCCAAAAAATATACCTGTACATTAAAGACTGCATCATGGAGAATACTCACCTTCTGATGTGGATTCCTTGATGACACTGAATATTATCAGTACTATGCATAAGACCTGATGAGTGACTAGAATTGATGGGAATTGTTTGACAGACATTATAAAGGAAGCATAAAAAAAATACCTAGAGATTAAAAAACCTGAGGAAGAAATTTGACAGTCAGGAGTATTGTAAAATTACAATAGAATGGAGTAGGGATAACCATCAATAGCTTAAGTGGCAGGCTAATGGAAGAAAAAAATCTCAACATGAAAACTCTAGTCAAAGACAGACTGTTTTACATGTATTTTTCCAAGTACAGGGTGGCTCATTTAAGTATAAACAGTTTTATTTGGCTATTGCTCACATAAATTTGTACTATTCTCAATAATATTTTAACACAAAGTAATGTTGACATGAGAATTTTATTTGGTCAATTTTCATGGAGTTCTGCCTCCAGATTTTAGAAAAAATTCCATTTTTACTGCAACTCAAAACTTTTGCATACACATGCCACTGCGACCTTGCTAAGTATAAGCTGCCACATTTATAGAATGAGTTGATGGATTTTTATATAACTTTACATAAATGTACTCACTTCATGTATTAGTAGGCTCTCAAAAGCAAACAGCCATAAACTGAACGAATTATGAATAGCTGCATACTGAAAAATGTTCCAAAATTTTATGGGACAGAGTATATATGATCAAAAGCTTTTACTCTTTCTAATGAAGGCACACAGGCAGCAGCACTCTTGTGTGCAGGGAAAAACCTATTCATTCAGCTGTATGTTCCTGTTCATGAACTACTTACTGGGCAAGAGTTCCTGCATGAGATTTCAAGTCATACCACATAGCAAACATAACACATAATACATATAGCATGCATAATAAGGCATAATAATCAAGGAGTAATCAAACTTAGTGCAAAAAATATGTCCATCTGAAGTAAAGGACTGCACACCATTCCATTTTGAGAGTAGGAGTAACAAGTTTGGAAGGAAGTAACCAAGGTCAAAATGAATGTAGCAGGGAATAGTACCTTATTTTCTTATACTGCAGCAAATAATCATTTGGTTGATGATTAAAAAAAAATATGCTTTCTAAAATAAATGTGAAAAACCGATCAATTTATCTCCCAAAATCAGTGCTTTCCACCTTGAGGTTCAAAGATGATTAATATGCTGTTCCAAAGTGCAATGCAGCATATGGGAGCAGGAGAATCCTATTTAGGGAAGTGAATGTTTTCAGATTGATACGTGAGAAATTTTCAAAACGTTAGGAGAAAATAAGCACCAATCTAAAGACACTGGCATATCTCCTAGTTCCTTACTCAAAACAAAAATTTTCTTGATGCCACCATAAAATGGATTTTTCATGATTTGACACCATCACTTCTTGGAAGAATGTTGATTTCCTTGGGCATTTTGAGGAAAAAAAAAATCAATTCCTCCTCATGGGTTTCCCATGAGCCCAAAAAAATATTGGGTGCATTTGTGAACAGAGAACTATCCAATAATGCTGCTTTATTTCCAGGAAATATCATGTATTTTCCTTGGATTATTGGATAGTTCTCTGTTCAAAAATCCACCCATAGGTTTCCTCAGTTCTTTTTGCCGCCATAGGATAGACAATTGCTTTGAATTTAAGACCACAGAGGGGTAAGAGAGAGAAGCAAAAGCAATTCAGAGTCCCTAAATATATATGAAAAAAAAAAACATTATGGAAGCAATTCGAAAGTATCTCTTGTTTCTGATGCATTCTTGATCATGCCATATTGAGAAAAACTGCCAGATGAACATTATAATTATCTAAAAGAACCCAGGAAACATCAATGATATAATTGGAAAAAGTAATCAGTCCTTAAATCTGTAATAAATAGGAGTGAACTGGTTATGTCCCAAATCGTGCAGCAACCCATGAGCATGTCTATAACCATGCCCAGTAGGACCATGCTTCCACAGAGCAACTCCAACTTTATCACAGGCTTGCCTGAACAATGGGGAAAGTCACTGAGGAGTCAAAAAGCTTTCTTTGTCCGTTGTGGGAGTAGACTCTCTTTGGTTTTCTGCATGAAGGACAGCAGTCCATAGCGTTTCCCTCGTTTGGAGAAATATGAACTCACCACATCTGAGTCATCTAAGAAAGAAAAGAGGCATTATTTAGGGTTACTTGGGCTTGAGCTATTTTGGATCAACTTTTCATGCATTGTACATAGTACACTATCCTATCCATGATACTGTGAATCCTCATGTATCATACAGATATCATACCTGACAGTTATATAGTTTAATCCAGAGAGCTCTATCCCAGTCCAGCCGAGGTGGCAAACACAAACACACTTGACTCATTTGACATTTTGAATGAAGTATCTAAGCATATCTGATTTTGATTTATTCTTCTATTAATGGCAATTATATTTATGACATTTTGCAGAAAAAGAACTGTTACTTGAGTACTAAACAACCAATACAATTCAAATTATCAAGAATTCACCTAAATAAGTGAGATGTAAAATCCCATTTTTTTTCCCCCTACAAATGCCTTATATGTTGTTTTGTTAGGCATTAAATGCCATTTATTTTTTTGGGCCACCTGATTTATGACCTGAGTGAAACCCTTAGGGAAGCAGCACCAGTTCGCGAACAGGGAGCCAGTTAGCGAACAAGGGTTATGAAATGCGATTTGGTCTTTTGTTACTCTAGTTTCACTCTCCATCCCAAGCATTAATTAATCAATCAATCCATTTTCTGCAAATACCAAAAGCTGAAGCGTGTAACTCAAGAAACAAAAGACCAAATCGCATTTCATGACCCTCGTTCGCTAACTGGATCCCTGTTTGCGAACTGGTGCTGCTCCCCTATATGTTCTATGTTGTATTTATGATGTATGATGGGCTTTAATTTAGCATATACATATGCCTTTATCCCATCAGATCAGTCAGATATAGGCAATGTCACATAGGACTTCAGTTTTTGTTGATCTACAGGGCATAGCAACAAAAGGAATCCAGAAATTTAACCATTAAGTCTCTGACCTGATACTATTTTTGTGGAACTAGCACTGCACATAGGTTTACATGTTCCCGATACAGCTTTGAAATTATGATGCAAATTCATTCTACTCAAGCTAGGCTACAAGTGAATATTCACATCAGAAATAAAAGATAGGGAACTCTAGTCCCTATTGAAAAACTATAGCCTGCTTGCCTCTCCCTCCAACACATACAAAGGGAAAAATAATAAGATACTTAAAGCAAACTCACTCTACTGATACCTATGGATTCATTAGTTATTGGAAAAAAGCTTGCCAAAACCATTTGCAGCAAAAGACCAGTGAGAAGAATGAACTTTAATCGAAGAGATGCTAGATTTGACTTCCATGATATGTAACCCTAGCATGGTGTCTCCTCTACTTGATTACCAGCTCTATTCCATTTACAATAGCCACCTTGCTTGGAATACTCTTTTATACTCTTCCCTATTCTAGGTGAATTAGTATGAAAATCAAGTCTCCTGGGAACATTTCAGGCTATGCACAGTCCAAGTTTTGTGAAAGCAGCAAATTAAACATTTATTGGTTGAAAATCAAGGACTTTTTGGCATATCAATACTTACTTTTTCCAAGAAATTATTTATCATGAATGATGAAATATAAAGGAAGCACCAACCCAGAATATATAACTACATTGGAAAGAGACCAAGGTCTTCTTCCCACAATAGACTACTTTAGTCCTAGGAAAAGAGACTGCAGCTGGAAAACAGTTCTTACCACTAAGCAGAGGTCGAGCTTCCACATAGGAAGGTAGAACATTCTCATTGGCAGAAAGGGACACAAAGAAAGCAAAGGGAATGAGCCAAACACAAACAGTGAAGTATGCCAAGATCTGCAAGATAGAAAAGTTTCAATAAATTAGATAGTTGTGAAGAACTGATGATGGAACCTGAAACACAGGTTTCCTTGGCATTTTCAACTTAGGTGATATGGTCAACATCTGAGAGGAAGCCAATTCTTATAAGCATTTTGACTGCTGAGGATTTAAATGCCCGGCCAACCTCTCCTTGCGGTGAACTGCAGTGGAGGTTTGCTGTGCCAAACACGGCATATGGCATGAATAGCAGTCAAAGTGTTAACCAAATTTCATAATCTTGATCCTTCCACTCCTACAAATATTTGGGTTTGTGGTGCATTTTAGATGGTTTGCCAACCAATTCTGATCAATTTGGAATCTCACACCACCTAAGGAACAGGCTTGGGTTTTTTACTTTCATTCTCATACCAATACTTTGCTTTTCCAATGAAAGAAAAGCCTCAGAAACTCCAGATCTTTTCAGATGTCAAAATTGGAATTACAAGATAACAAAATTCATGTATTGCTGGATCCAGGATGCTGAGCAGTTGGCTAGACCTCAGCAGCACCCAAGCAAGAGAACTAAATGTAAGCATTATTGCACAGGGGTGGACAATAACATGCCTTTGAATGAATGCACCATCCATGGCTGTCAAATTTTGTGCAGGAATGTGGTGGTGAAGTATTGCTTTGATGTAAAAATGATAGACAATAAATCCAAGGGCAGCTAAACATTTTGTGTGAAAATGGCTCCATTTGATGACACTATTTGAAGTTCATTCAAAGCTTGCTTGTATCAGCATGTGCAGCAAAGATTTGAGGGAAAACAGTCCAAATGAAAGAGTGAACTGTGACCCAATCTGGGATATAACAAAGCCCCAGTTACAAGCAAGTTTTAGCTTGAGTTCAGTGCATCTCTGACCACTCCCATATTAATTTGCCATGGAAAGGTTAAGGAATGGGAAACATGGCAATTCAAAGCATCGAGAAAATCTAAGGTAAAAAAGGGCAATTATCTAGAGGGTGAAACACAATACCAGGTGGTGCAAAAAAAAAGTGTCCTATTTAAGGCTTTATAAAAACCTAAAGTAGAAATATGAAAATGTTGGTTTTTTTTAATCAAACAGAAAACACTAAAATCTGTTTCATGAATGTTTTGAAGTCTCCCAGTTGTTTGGATTAAGAGCAACAGTCATTGAAACTTTGATCAAGTTCTGCTCTTCCACACATCAGCAGCTTCAGCATTGCTCTACATGTGTGCACCAATTGTCAGTAAAAAGCCTGCTTCTAATGACTGCATTCTTATTGCAATGTTCTTGACTATGCAGTGTTATGTACAAAGGAAAAGTCACTGAATTAAAAGGGGTGTTTTTAAAAAGAAGGGCTGTAGAAGGAAGAGACTCCAGAGATGATAGGTCCATGAATTCATAGGAAACTCTCACTATCCTCTTTCTTCTTCAGTCCTTGTACTCATACTCTAAACACACTATCAAATCAAGGTCTTATCTTTTCATTTAAGACCGAAAATGTTACAAAATCAAGAATGAATATGACTAGGACAAAAAAAATCAAGAATATTATGAATAGGACAAAATCAAGACTACTATAACACACACAAAAAAATGTATTTATGGTGTTAAAGGTGAGAAATCTACTGAGCAGTGCTAAGATGGCATCCACCTCATGCATGAAAAAAGTCACATATAATGACCAAAATTTGAATGAGTCACTCTTTATCTAGATGAACTTGACACTTGAAACTTTCAAGAAACAAATTTTATAGTTTTCCAATAAGATTTACAAAAATACTTAAAAACCTAGAACCTAGAAAAAACTTCACAAGAGCACAAGAGGGCAAATGCAAATTAATGCCACCAAGACCTGTAATGTTTTTATATGCCTACCCTGTCACTTGCATGTGTCACCCAATAACTGTGTATCACTTTAATTTCCATAATCAAAACTTTCTCTTCTGATAGGGCACTGGACAGCTCAGCTTCTGAATAATAATAACATAGATTTTTATTATGAAATCAATGACCACAGCCTAAACTTCTGTAAAAAAAAAAAATAAATAAATAAAAATAAAAATAAAAATAAAAATAAAAACAACACTCCACACCACCTCCCTTGAATTTTGTATTTTGTCCAGTTCTTCTGATGTCAATTTGAAATACACCATTAGGTTCCTGATGAAACACTGCATATTGTCCTAATTTCACAAACATTTAAAAATGTTAAGGTCTGACCTCACAAGTAACCAACCAAACATCCTCCAGTTGAGTCAGAAATTCTGGGTCAAGAAAGAGATCAATAAAAAAAGAAAGAGAAACAATGACTTACCTCTGAAAATGGATAATAATATGAGGCAAAGTGACTGAATGCAAGATAATGATTTATCCCCAACAATGCTGGAAAAGAAAGAAGTCATTGTCATGTTCATGAATGTTAGAAGACAGACAGAAAAACCACTTGAGACTCACCAGGAGGAAAAACTCTAAACAACCAAATGTCAACGGCTCTGAAATGTGCAAGAATGAAATCTTGTAACCCAAGAAAGGTTAAAATTTTATCTTGATGTAACTTTAGTGTCACTGCTCTGAGGGGACTAAAATTTGAAACAATTTTTTGCACATTAATATCCAACATGACAAGTTTAATTCGAACCTGAGGTGGTTCCATCTTCCTGATTTGGTGAGTTGACACTAAATGACCCATCTGATATTTTTCCTTGACATTTTCTGAAGGAAAAATGTTAAGTAAAGATTAGTCACAAGTTCAAACTGTAGTGTGTACAAGGAATTTAGCTGATGCCTAATTGTTAATGGTGATTCTGAAAAACAGTCATTTGTAAAAATGAGAATGGAACATTATAAATGACATTCTGTCATCTAAATGAGTAGAGTGACCTTTCCTTAGCAAGTGGAAATTTGTGATTTTTGAAAACTTTACTGATTCTCATGACCAAAATATGCCTTCATCCTTTTTGTTTTTCCCATTCCCCTCTTACATGAGTTTGAAAGTTCAACAGCTGAGACACATGTAGAAGTGGAAAGGGAAAACCTGAAATTGTGTTTCTATAAATCTAACTAAAAATGTTTTAAGCAGCATAATGGTAGAATTCAAAAGTAGACAACAATTAAGCATGATGAAATTTTCCTCCTGATGATTCCCATTAAGGATTTCACATATGTGACAGTCTCACCTATACCAAAGAGGAATGCAGGTGATGTAAAGTCAAAATATGGGAAGTTCCTCAATATGAGGAGATGACACAGTTGACCAGCTGCTCCACAAGCAATCAAGGAGGTTGGGAGGTCCTCAAAGATGAACAGGAAGAAGTAGACCACCAAAGTGCCCTGGAAATTAGATTTGAATATTTAATATTTGTGCATGACACTGTTCTAAAATAATACATAATTCTACATTGAACAAAAGATCCACTTGAGTAAAACATTTGTCATACCTAATGGAAATGCTTTGTCACATGTCCATGATGAAAAGTTCCCAGTGAATACAAATCTTCATCACAACTTCACCTGCATAGTTGCAGGCATCCTTAAAGATTGGTTCCATATAATCTATCTCAGTGGTTCTCAGCCTTTAATAACCTTGAAACCCCCTTTGGAAGGGAGGGGAACAATGTGGACTCCTTTCACTATTGCCTAAATTAGTAGGCTTCTAAAACTAGTGCAACTAATTATGAAAGCAACATCTTTAAAGTTTGGTTGAAAGGTATGCACCTTTTTTCACTATTATTTTGTCCATAATTTTTTCACCTGGGTATAGTTTTGTGGACCCCCTGTAGCCTTGTCAAGGATCCCCCCTGGTTGAAAAACACTGATCTATCTGAACTGCAATCCACAAGAGGAAACAATAATGCACAATTTCTTCAAAGGCAAATGCTTTGATCCTCTGCCATCCTTCTGCTTTGATCTTCAAGAAAGACCTCTTTCGAGAAGCCTGCAATGGAGAATGTCTGTCTCTCCTACCCCTTGCTATCTTCCTTGCTTGCCTCAACTATTTTCTGTGGAAAATCCTGCTTTTATCTTGACTTAATGGGGAGAATAATATGATCTCACTCCACAAAGATCATCTTCCTTTCATGTGACATCATTATTGGCCTATAAGTTTTCCTTTTCTTTAATTAATAGTAGATTAACGGTATTGATAATAATATCAATACTTTTAATCTGGAACATGATTTATGGCACAGCAATGATTGGACTAAGTAATGAAAGAATGCATGTTGTCAATTTAAGCAAGAAGTGCCTTCAAGGTACATATTTCTGAATCCTACACCATTTCAGGGCAGACTTCTTTCAGGATGTGTCACTATTAATAGCCCTCTTGTCCTCCATTACATCATTGTCCATTATGAATGCTGGGTGTTATTTTCTAAGCAACCACCACCCCCTTTTTATGAGCAACCCACTAATAGGAAAAAAAAGGACATGACATAGGGTTTGAAGCCACTACTGAGTGAAAACACTGTTCCAAATGAAATGAAGACCAACCCAAGGTGACACCAGCATCAAGTGATATCTCACTCTTAAGAAAGACCTGAAAATTGTCTCCCTATACAAATGAAACAAAATACAAAGACAGTGTAAATGCATGCAAAAATCACTAAGATTGAGACTTTTCCACATCTTATTGCAACTTAAGATTTGATTGGTAGGTGAAAAATAAGTAAATCATTAGAATGGCTCCCTCAAATAGCATGCTTGCGGGTTAGGTGAGGTTTGACATTTTTCTCTTTTCCTGGGTCCTGGGGGGCCATGTTGGGTGATGGAAGGTTACATAACTAATACAAACTAATAAAAACTTGCTGACTATACTGCTTAATACCATAGTCCCAGACAAACTTAATTTGTTTGCTTGCTTTGGGATCCCACACTGTTGCCATTTTCTATTACACAGGGTGAGGCAGAAAAATGTAACTGAAACTGCAATTCAGTAATCAGAACATTATTCATTATATATATTATTTACTACACACTACAGCACATTGCAAGTTCAGTTGTTATTTTCACCTTGGTGCAAAATCACGAGTTCAATATGCTCACCACTATGCTGAAGGCACATTTCCATGTGATAATGTACATAATAGGTAACACAAATAAGAAATACATTTTCAGTTACCTTATTTCTGCCTCACCCTGCATAAAGCCTAGCCAGGCTTCTTAATTCCATCTATTGGAAAGGCAAGGAACGTGCAGAATCACATGCACAATGTAAAGCAGCAGTGGAAAGAGGCAGTTATTGAAACGGACCTAATGCTCTGCTGCGTAAAAAAAGTTTCGGGAATTCGGCTACAAGGCCGAGCTAAGCAAGTGACTACGCACCAGGCAAAAAATTTTTTTACCGCCTTGTAATGTGATACCATACGCTTCGGGAATGATCTGGCGACATAAACATTCTCCTTTTCCTGACATCAGTTCAAGGAGAGACAAACACATGTTTCTTTCGGTAGGAGGCAGGAGTATTTTCGCTTGAGCCGAGGGGTTGTCAAGGGCAGTGGGTGGCTGCTTAGTGAAGGTTATTAGGAGCGAAAAAAACCTTCAGGGGAACTTTCAAGGACTGCCAATGGGGCAGCCGCATCGTAAAGTACACCACTAGGTGGAAGTTCCCTTCTCTTGCTGGTGCTTCCCAAATGCGGGCACTTTTTCATTCATATTGATGTAAAACAGATGGTAAAGATGTCATAAAGCGTCTCTGATCAAATCCTTATCCCCACGGACTCATGTGCGCACATAACTTGGCATAGATGGGAAAAGAATTATGGGTAAGTACTATCGCGGCCGCCAAACGATAGCATGGCCTCAGTAGGGGTCCATCAACACACTAGTTCCTTTTCCAATTAAACTCACCGGTCATGCAAGAAATCCCATCACATTCATGCCAACAATTCACAACTGGAAACTCTAACAGTGTGCTCCACAATCCGAATATTCATTAAGCAGAGGTTTCAAGTAAGCTAGGATGTTAGTTAGGATTCCCGAGTTAGGTGCATTCATGCAGGTGCAGGAGCCTCTTTCACCTATTGTACAGTATATCGTATTGACTCCATTCGGACTCACTGAGCGGTTTTCCTTGTTAAAGTTCCTTCTTCCTCTCGCACACTTGCGTGCAGACGTCCCGAATCGAACTAATCTCAATCCCAGACGCAAGCCTAGCGTTTTATCAGAACCTCTGGGGAAACGCGAGCATTGCGTGCGTTTACTTACCTGCTCGCGCATAGCAACGCAAATATGTAATGTGAGAAATTACCATTGCGATCTCCTTACGAGTTCACAGTGCTGACTTGCGGCACGATGAAGCTTTCATAAATTTTTCAATTTTTCAATTGTGTTCCCACTTTCCCCTCGTTTCTACACGTAACATGAAGTCGACCTGATTGTGAAGTGTATTCTTTAAGGCATAATTCGATCATCGCTCAGAGTGAAAATGTCTTCCATATGCAAGTTGCTTTTCTTCAAAAGAAATTCGCGATCACTCTTGGGACAGATTGGGACTTGGTCGCCAGGAATGTCAATGGATGGGGATGTAAAAAGAGTAACAAATAAAGTCGCAGACATGGAATTAAGGAAAGAAACATGAAAAATGCAAGTCGTAAATAAAGTATGAAAGTGATGAACTCTAATGAGTCAGCAGAATCAAAGGCAAAGAGAGTGGGGCATGGAACTTGATAAAATAGTTGTTAATATATGATATTCCAAGACTATCAAATATCCCGCGGAGTTAAGAAAATTGTGGGTGAAAATTCAGTCATGGGGAAAATGAATTAAAAAGGGAAAGAAGTAGGACGACAAATTCAGGCCCGGGTAAACCAGGCCTCATGAAGGTGAAATCCCATGATTTCCTGACCTGTCTCGCGTCTCCTTTTCTGGATTCACATGTTTATTTGGCCACAATGGCACTTTATTTGCCGATTGCTACAACCTGTCACCTGATAAACAACGTTTTCAGAATGACTCATGGTTTCATGGATGAACCCATATTTTGCCTGAGACTCGCGTCAGCTCCATCATTCATCCCACCATATATTACATGATGCATGGAAAAATGTGTTGTGGGAAGGGGGGCAAGATCTGGCGAACTCTCTTGGAGACAAGCAGAAGAGCAACTCAGACCTATCGTGATGCCAGATTATGCCTAACACCTAGGGGTCATTCACTGCTTTCCTATAGTTATGACGGGCGAGGGGAACGGCATTTCCTTGTCACTTTGGCACTTTTTTTGCGCCTCGCACTGAAATATTGGCCACTACATTAAAGGAGACAAGAAATGCTCACCGGAATACTCCTTCATACTCCTTTATCTACAAGATTTCACCTGGACCTCCCAAAGTTAACGGTGCTCCAAACGCCTTCTTGCATATCTCGGAAAAAATGGCTCTGATCTATCAATGTCTCTCGGCGGAACGTGAACTAAGAGACTCTAGCCAGTGCCTGTTAACATTGCTTCGGGGTGAGGTCCAGCGTCCAAGGCCACCGGTGAAATAGGATTACACCAATCTGCAAATTTTTGCGGGGTGTGTCGAGATCGTCCTTGAATGCATGACCACACCACAGCCCCTGAGGTTGTAGCATATTGTGATCAAAAGTTCTGTCCGAATTGAAGATGAAGGGCTAGAGCCCAGATGTGGACGTATCACTGTTGCCTACCTCCCCATCAGACTCAGAAAAACATACCCCTCTCCCTCGAATGCGGTCCGCATTTGCGACAGGATACAGAATTGTCCTCTCGCTCCCTAAAGTTACAGGAACTCGGCAGAGGAAGTCTCTCTATATGATGCAGTACGAAAATTCAATTGGCAATAGTACTAGAGTTAAATGAGGACAACTAGGTTTCTTATGACACTGGGAAATCCGGTCAAAGGCATCTACGGGTGATGTAAGGCGCTCCCATGGCAATCACGGGGCAACTTATTTGCTCATAGGCAGTCATTTACTGAGGGTAAAGACGTCTTCGTCGAGTTTCATCATAAATTTGTCCCTATACGAGCTCAGCGGGACTACGGTCTGGGCCATGGCGGACCTCAGCTCTCCGGAAATTTTTAAAATACTAAATTTAAATAATAAAACAAACGGAGTAGCGCTGAACTGTATGAGGCTGTTATGGCTGTCTTCAGGTCGTGGACAGATGGAAGAAGCTGGGTAATGGAAATTCCACCCCCCCTCCACCCTTTTTTTTCCAGTCGTCAGTTCACCTGAAGAATCCCATTAACTCAATCACAACTGTCTTCCTCTTCACCTATAGTAATTCAGGCGCAAGCCTGCATACTACCATGCATACCGAATCCTGCCCAGACTTAGCGATGCGCGCACACCCGTATCTATGCCTGGATTTAAATTAGAAGCCCCTATGCCATGCCCAGTCTCCATCCTGACGTATGCGCGCTAGAGGCAGTGTGATGCTCATTTTGACGTCGGAAGTGAGAAAGGCTTCCAACAGTACGTCTTGCGCCGACAGACCCCCTGCAGACAGCAGTCTCCTCCCTTCATACTTTCAGGTGGGCTCGGGACCTCATTCTGTATCGATCGGGAGTCAGAATTCCTGGGACTATTCACGTAGATCAACGACCTGTGAGGAGGTGTATTAAAGTAAGCAAGCGACAGTTGGCTATGGATGGTGGAACACTCGAGAAACTTCGATTCACTCCCACCTTTCCGCAAAGCCTTTGCTCCCGCTCCAAGTGTTTCATGCGCGAAAGTGTGGCTTCACTAAGTGCTGATAGGGAACAAAATGTGCATGGAGCGCACAAAGGTCCATAGGCGCAAGACGCACAATGCCCCACGAGGGGAGGGAATGAAGTGTGTGCAGAGAATGATGGCGGGCGTGTAGTGTGGTCTGGTCAGTTAGGTTTAACGTACAATGCACTACCCCTCAAGTTACGGAAATTCATCATGTCACATTCCTTCAAGGGCGAGCTATGATTGCCAATAAACGCCTTCTGTGCTCATCTAGAGTGAGTATAAGGTCTACGGGAAGAGGCTAGATCGTTATCGGTTACCCAGGAAGACAGGGGCAATGCAGAATGGGTCAAACCTCTCCCATGTTCTCTGCATCGATCAGCCCGGCAGATAATTCCAACACCTTCAGAGAATAAACGACAAACATCTCCCCTATCTAGGCCGGCGTTTTCCCATTCATGAACACGCGCACTCCATTTTGATTTACGCTACAGTATCCTAAAATATTTCAACACCTTCCAGTGGTACTATCACTATGTGCCACGAAAATTTTGGATAATGATTGAATCGGAATGGAGACACACCAACTCAACTGCTGTCTGGATAAAAATATTAACGATACCCTGTTAAACGGTAAGGATCGAGGAACCATAACTTAAAGTTACTAAATCACAACAGAAACCCTAGGCAACCCTGACGCTATGTTAATCTTGATAACCAATAATAAAACCCCTAAACCTACGAAATCTTTACTAAGCTTTCAAATGCCCGGAGAGCAACCTCACAACACAACACGAAGCGCGCGCTCGACTGAAAACGGCGCTGTGGAGTGCTGCCGGTATCAGAGCGTGTGTGTTGCTCAGATGCTCGTCGCGCAGCCCTAGGCTGTCTGCGGTGACGTCACCGCAGAAACAGAACTGGCTTGCGTATCCCTGCTGACTTCTTGTCATGTTACTGCTCATGTATATTTCAATCTCTTGGCCTCGGCATGTACTCCCCCCCTCCCCCTTCACTGTCATCTAAACATAGACGCAAATTTGATACTCATACAACAGCTTAATGACCCTTACTATGAGAGACTGGTGGAGGAGGGATGACCACATTTAAACATTTTTCATATAGGCCTATGAGATTGGTTACAAAAGCAGAGAGAGAAAAAAAAAAGTCCAAGGTAAAGTTAAGAAGATTCAAATTGTTTAGTGAGGAGTCGGGGAACTTTCCAAAAGGGGAGCCAAAATTCAGGGGAAAACAGAAAATAGTATGAAAACTCACCACTCAATCATTCCCGTCTCTTCTTGAATTATAAATTTTAAAGTAATCTTAGCGCTAGAACAGTACTTGAGACCGGCAAAAAGCACTACCACAGACTCGCAGGCCAGGAAAACCCTTGCGAACCTACGAACAAGGTTCGCGGGAGCGGAGACGTGTGGGTGGACGGGGCCAGCCCGGCCCGCTTAGTCCGCTTGCATATCCTTTCCGGTAAATTCCGATTTGTCGCCTCAGGTTCGCGGGGAAAAAAATGTCTACACTGCCGCAGAGTGAAGCTACTCCTATGGTACCTCAATATCGGTTTCGTAAGTCTGCATGTAAATGTCTCCGGAAGTACTATTCCAAATCTGATTACATTTACATTTTGCTGACTTAAAGACTTGTGCGATTGGGGGAGAATATAAAAATTGGATTTCATCCATGAGCATGAACTATGGCGGTGGAAATCTGTTTTGGAAAGGCCATTCTGCAGTAGGATTCTTGATTATAATCTCTTTCGGCCCGAGAGTTCTCCCGCGCGAAACATGGTCATTCTGGCTGCGCTACTTCGAAGGATCTCTTGGAATTCATTGCTAGTGGTTTGTCTGCTTTCCTTCTTCTGCTTACGCATATTGACTACTGGATTTTTCCCTCTAGCGACTATATATATACAGGGTGTCCCATAAGTCACTACACCATTTCAAACTGCAATATTTTCCGAACTGCAACGTGCAGGTCACCGTTGTAGGTATTGATGGATAGCATGTTCATTAGAATTTTTTCACAACAATGAATTGCAATCATACTCAAACGGAAATAGCTTCAAATGCATATTGGAAAGGTGCATTGGTTAAGGGACAATTTTGATACTCCTTGTTCAATCCTCTTCTACAAAATTACTAAACTTAATGTTTTTCTCTTCTAATTTCAGATACACTTGAGAAACAGAAGGAAAAAAATGATTTAATTTAACTTGCTTTCATTGTCATGAGAAAAGGCTTTACAATTGACGCTGGGGCAATGAAGAAACGTAGCAACCCGGATGGAGGTTTTTGAGGGTCCATCAGAGTTCAAAGGGAGTTCCGGCGATTTTTTGGTGCTGAGCCTCATGCTAAATGTATAGGCAAGGGACATTTTGAGACAATTTCAAAGCAAAGAAATATCTTAATTTTTTACAAAGATAATTCCAAATGACATGCTAACTTTCTGTTAATGTTACTTCTTTTTAGCATCAACTGTTAAGTGCATGTGATTTTTTTGAAATGGTATAGTGATTTATGGGACACCCTGTACATATATCCAAATGTCCAGAACTCTGGACACCGGGGCTGAAGAGGATAGAGCCCTATCATGCCTTATAATATTGCTCTCCAAAGTCTGGAAACAACACTTTTTCAAGACCAAATTTCCCTTAACTTGCCAGAAAGGAAACCGTGTGCTCTCATAATGATTTTCTTACCTGCGCAGAGCTACCGTTAATTGCAAGAAACGTGTACAATCCAAAGTGGAACGAGTGCTCACGTTTTAAGCAACGAATTCTCAAAATATGTAAATACGTTAATTTGCTTCATAGTGTCGAGTATTTCAAGCATGATTACGGGCCATTCCATGGTAACGGACGGAATACCCTATAGAATAATTAATTACATTATTTTTTACTTGACTTTTTAAACAGCAGAACAGAGTAGCACTACGTACACCGTATTTCATGCTCATCCTCTGGTAACATTGACAGAGGTACGTCAAATTTATCTGCAAAATCTACTTTGATTCCACTCCTCGCAGGGCTATGGTGATAACAGAAATACAGTCCGGTAGTAAACATTATAAATAGAACTGAATACATTTGATTCCTCCACAAAAATAAAAGAACCATTTTTAGTGTGAAAGGCCTTCAAAGTCGTCTCAACTGATATCCACATTGCGCAGGTTTTTAGCTTTCCAATTACACCTTAAATACACATGACTTTTGGGCATATTTCAATTTTGACGTTGAAACGACGATGACGTCGAAATGACGACGCTGATATTTTCATGGAATGGCCCAAAACTTGAAAAAAAAAAGATTGTCTTCATTGACGCAAAAGGACGAATGAAAGTATACCAAAGGGCAGACAAAAAAGAAAGGGAAAGGTTTTTTTTTTGGCATGAAGTTATTTGCCAGAGAAAATTGCTTTGATCGGTTGGTGAGTTCCTCTCTGACGTAGGTCACAGCGCTATGAAGAGAGGCAAAAAAAAACCAGCGACTTTAAAACCTTTTAAAAAACACCCGCGAAATTTACCTCTGCTCTCTAAAGCTACTTACACGAGACTTGCACTTTCGAAATTGAATCAATAATCGTTGCGCCTAGGCGCAAATATTATGAGCAAATATTAAAAAATAAGATGGATAATAAAAATGGACAAGAGTTGGTGCTGGTAGTCATGTGGAGGAACGCCTTAACGATGTAGCTGAATATCATCACCACACTGAACTCCTTTTCCATTAAAATGCAAGTCATACTTCGGGGTTGCTTTTTTTTTGCAGATTTTTTTTCCAATTTAAGACCAATGAATCAATAAGTATCAATACAGAGAGTTTGTTCAAAGTTCAATCATATTTCCTCTTTGGTCTACACCGGAGAACGAAGCAGACGTATTCTACTCACTCCGAAAGGATTCCAGTCCCCTGACCATTTTCAAATTCTTGATTTCTCATGTATTAACTTACCAGTGTCAACCATTTGATGGTCTTGCCTGTGAGGACTGTATATTCTTCTACCAGCTCTGCCAAGTAGTACAGTCCTGAAGCTGCACCAAGAAAGAAACAAAGGAACCTTTTACTTTCAGTACTCTCCAAACAAAAAATGAATATTCTAGCCAATTAATTATGTATCTTCCTGGAAATTTTCATTTCCAAAAGTTGATACACAGTACACAATAATAAGCAACCTTGGATATTAAAGACACCGTTTAAATTGCAATAACATATTTGGGATAATTCTTTTATGAATGTAAGAGCTTTCATTTCACACTCTCTAAAAAATGATTGTCTAATTTATTGACATTTCATGAAGCCCAGGGAGCCTGTCAGCTTCAGGATTCACATCTGAGGTTGACTTCAAGATCCAAATCAAGTAGGGTGTATTTTTGTGCATTAACCATAATGGCAATTGCCTAGATGAGAGGACAGGATAGCATTGTTCCAGTAATTGATACTTAAATGCATTTTTGCTGCTAAAGTAACAAAGGCAAGGGAATGAGTTAATTGATCAACCTAAGTATTTGGGAAGTAATTAATTTATTAATTACTTATTACAAAATGTGGACTGCAACAGACACTCTGACAAGGACAAAGTTGCATGTGGCTGAACACACAACAGAGGAAAATGATCACTTATCAGATATTCCTGATGGAATTGCCATCCTTGTCCACATGTTCTATTGAACTTCCATGACTGGGACAAGAAATACTATTGTTTTTATTTAGAAAAATAATTATTTTGGCTGTGCATGGTCATCACTTATGATAGGACTATCTCCAGTAGCCATTTAAGTTTTCAGCAGTATAAAATGTAATATAATGTGAAGAGAGATGACCATCTGTACTTGCATGCTTAAAAGAATAGCAGCTCCAGATCCAACTTAGAATTGAGAAAGACAAAAGAAACCAAAAACACCTGTCCAAGTTGTTTTACATCAGTAATGTCATGCAAATTGTCTTATTTTGCTTTACCCAGGATAGAAAAGAGAAGGTTTTGGCTGCAATTGATGTAGGAATACATCTTCTATAAAGTACTGATGAAGTAAAGTTTCTGTATTAAACCATCCTTAAGAAGCAGAGTCTAATTTGCAGTCAATTGGAAACTGGCATTAAAAACATCCGTAACTATGGAACTGCCTGATGCAATTATAAAAGTAATTGAAATAGTATGCTGGTGAGAGTTTAGATGGATTTGAGCAGCTTGCAATGAGAGAGATATTTAAGGATTACACTGTACAGAATTGCAAAATTGATAATAGCAAGCTGACTGCAGGAGGAACTCCATAGGTCTGACATCATCACATGCCAAGTAGCTTTGGCTAAAGCACAACAGATAGGAGTGTCATCATCACATTGGTCATTTTTTTTAGCCAACTCACCTCTTATCATAATGCATATGAAGTGGAGAATTTAGGATTATCCATTTATATGCCTGCCTTTGAGATCACACCTGGCTGAGTGAGAGATATGATGGTAATTAAGCACATCTCTGAATTGTTACTTCTTCATTTTGTAGACATTTCTCCAATGAATCCAAATCTTCATACCACCTCCTTCACCAGCCATCACCCAGTATGTACAGGGCATAATTAGGACAAGTGAATAAATTATTGGATCATTATCTAGTGCTATGATAAATGGAGCTGCACTTATTTGAAGCAATTTTACAGGGCATTCCATGATGCAATACATGCATGCTGCTCAACAGTCCCTACAGGCACATGTTATGGGAGGATCATGAAAAGTATGATGGTGTCCATGAGGAAATGGAAATCATATACAGCCAAATGAGTGACCAAATGCCTGTTCCTATGATGGAGTCCTTTCCAGAAATTAAGCAGGAAGCAGAACCATGGTGAACCTACTAGCTGATGCAGAAGCTATATTGCCTTTCTTTACTACTTGTTCTATAATTACCTACACCTTCCTGTGATAGCTGGCATGATCAGATGACATCTTCACTTATGGTTGAGTAGTTGCAGAGTTCATAGGCATGAACAGTGAAAGGTGTTCTTAAAAGGCAAGGAAATGCATTTGATAATGCAGCTTTTACTATGGCTCCAGAAAGTAGAACAGAGATAGAAGCTCGAAATTCATGCTAAAGAAGTATATGAGAATGGGATAGATTTTGTGATCTTGACAGCAGTATTTGATGAAGTCATCTGAAGTCAGAGAACTGAAGATTCCATGTATTGAGTATTTTTTCCTGGATACTCTCATGGTGAGGGTGGTTTGCACATCATGATACACATAAACAGTCATTGGCAGTAAATTCTACTTCTTGGAAGTAGATATCAGCAACTGTCAAGTGACCACCTAGATGTAGCAAACGTATCATCATCTTAACCCTTTGACTGTTATAACACAGGAGGGGTGGCTGATATGTTTTCATATAAAAATTGGCCCTGCTTGTCTAAAAACAATAGTTTATGCAAGAAAATCTCATATCATGATAATTATTGAAAACAGAAGTTACATGTATGTATAGCTGTGAAATAACCTAGAAACATACCCATGCTACCACTATTCAAGCTCAAGTATGTACTCAGGCAAACAGCCAAAGGGTTAAATGTATTCACTGCCTTTTGATTTTTCCCAAGCCCAGAGAAATATGAGGCTCTTTGACAGTCTGCCCTATTGGCTTATTAGACCTGCACATAGTCAAGCCAAGAAATTAATCTTCAACTAGGGAAAGTCAGCTAAAGCAATGCCACTCTAGTTGGTTATGATAAAAACCCAATGGTTTAGCTTTTATAGAAATGTTTGCAGGAACTTATTGGACAACCCTCATACTTAGGTACATGCACCTAATCTTCAGATCAGTTGATCATTAATCAGTTGAATGCATCTTCAGATCAGTTCAATACCTTCAGTACTGCAAGTACAAACAGCTTACTACCTGAGACAACCAAGAGAAACATTCCTCTGATGAGACATGTGCACATGTCCATCAGTAACACATACATTGAAATCAATGCAACAATTCTTGTTCTTGGGTGAATTATGTTTGGCTGCCAGAAAAACAATACAGCAAGTAGATGCAAATTTTCAACTCAAATTAGACTTCAGAATCAAACTTCCAGGCCTTTGAAAGTCTGGCAGATCACATTCAAGACTTCAAGCACTGGAAGAGAGCTCAGCAAATAATTAGAGTCAAACATGAAGTTTATGAGAGTGGGAAGTTGCATGAATATTCTGCATTATCATTCTTAAAATATTGTACAATCCAGGCACAAGTGGCATATGACACATGACATGACCTTTCTGTGCCATTTGGCAAGCTTGGTTATAAATGCATTTGAACAGCTTTTTTTTAGGAATTCATCTGCATCTAGAGATAGTTTGCTTCTTTTTCCACAAGTTTCTCCAATGGGCTCACTTCTACATGATTACAGAAAGGTTGTGATCTATTCTAGTTTGCCCATCATATGTGATGGAAAGCAGAGAGAGCAAAGGGGAAAAATCCATACCCAAAGCCAGGGTGAGAAATACCACTTGGATGAGAAGAGACAGCCAGCTCAGGAGATAAAGGCACCACATGATCACCTTCAACGATTCCCACAGAATGACTAATTGTATTCAATGTTTACAGTCCCTTTGTGAATATGATTTTCCTGGATGATTGTCATTCTCTTCATGAACTATGGGAAAAAAAAGCATTAACTGAAGTGACTGTTTAACTGAATTGCTCACAGCATGTGTGATTAAAGTTCTGCTAATGCTAGTCTCAGCAATAATTACATTTTAAAAATGTTATAAGTAGTTATAAGTTTTGCCTCATGAAAAATCTCTACCTTATTCATTTTGATTCACTGAAATGAAGCAACAATTTTTATGATAAGAAAAACTTTCAACTAAGAATATTAACTTCTTAAAAATACAAGAAACTTATGGAAGAAATGTTAGAATTTCACCTAAAAAAAAATTAACTTGCTCTGTGACACCAAAAAAATGATTTTACTAACACACAGACATACAGGATGTTAGTTTTTAATAGGTCACTAGAGCAAATGTGGTAACATAATTCTGACTATATTTCCTAGCAGAAACAATAATCTCTTGAATAGAGGTCAAATACAATTGTTTTAGTAAGAGCACTAACAATCACAGAACTTCCTGTAGGTGAAGAGAAAATAGAGTGCATGCTATACCAAACAATGCTATACCCACAATGAAATGCCAATCAAGTTGAAAGTGCGTCATGAATCACAAATGCTCTAGAAGTGGAACATAAAATGAAATATCATGGAAAACTTGATATAGTTTCAAGAAACTCATTACTCCTGAATACTCAGACCAAGAGCCTAAGGCCTGTATGCTGAAACCTCATTAAGGCAAGATAAAAGGGCCTTTAAGCTAAGGAACTCTTTTGTCACCAAAAGGAGTCCATGGATTTTTAAAGAATTGTCAAAAAGGTTTCAGTATATGGCACAGTTTCAGCATTACAAAAATACCTAAATGTCTCAAAGTTTTATTTTCTGCAGTTTCTGATGAGATGTAACAGAAGGCTTATTATCCCTATGCAAACACCATAGGTGCCTACATTTTCACAGGGAATACAAAACAAGACAACAAATGCATATCTAGCCATCTCACTTTATATGAAGTGGGTTGCATTGAGACGAAAGTTGAAGCCCTTCATTCCACCTGCACCAATATAATCCATTATTGTAGACCTTGACCTTTTGAAAACTGACCACACTTTGTTCTTGATTCAATTACGAATTAAAAGTCTATCACTGGGAAAATCTATCACTACTTTGCAGCTATGGAAGAGACCCATTTGAATGTTTTGGAAGAAATATAAAACTCAAAAGCAAAGTAAATATATTAAATACCACAAATGGCTTTTGTTTTACTGGTAGATCTTAGGAAGATGGCTGCAAAATCAGAAAATTTTGCTGCACTGAAACCTATATGTGAACTGCTATAAGAAAAATCTGGTAATATATCTTTGATCCTTACACTAAGGAAAATCTCATGACATTAAATTTTCCCTTAAGTGACATACACTTAATTTATTATTAAAAAGTTTATAACATTCTATTGGAATAGATCAGTGGCTCTTAACCCCTGGGTCACGACCCAAAATTGGGTTGCCAAGGGTCTCCAGTGACTGTCTGAACTTTCAAATATAATTTATCACAAGTGAACTGTTTGAAGGCATGGGTTGCCGAGCTAGCTCTATGACCGGAATTTGTGTCACAGCAAAAAAAGGTCAAGAACCATTGGGATAGATGATATGTGTTTTGAAGGAATAGATATTAACATCTATCAATTGATACAGTCAATCTTGAGTCAGGAACAGAAACACAAACGATAAATCTTCAGAATACAGACTGGAATCATGCATTGCTATTCAGCCCACATATAGTGAAAGGAACATTGACACTATTGTGCAACTAATTCATGACCTTGAGGGTTGATAATGGAATGGTTCAATTTATTTTCTGGCAAAAAAGGCTGGGGGTAATGGGTCTAAGGGAAATCACAGGGAGTGGTGTATCACACCTAGGTATGGTGATGCCAGCTGGATTTCTCCTCTCTGTTGTACAAGTTTTACATTAGCAGCTGGGGGGGGAGTGCCACAGGTTTATGCCAGCCATCTACTTCAGGTACTCCTTAATGGCTTAATGGCTAAGGGGTGACGCTGACAAACTGAAGCCTTCCCCATTTAAGTTTTCCATCATTAAATCTCTACATTTGGGACTAGTAATTTGGGGGGAGAGGCATGTGGCAGTGAGAGCTTCCATGTGAAACTTTCCAATATCAATGATCCAGCTTTACCTTCTGCAGTTCACCTTAAATGGAGACAGGAGTAATCAGGAAGGGGCAGTACGAGGCTGCTAAATGGTACTGTGATATGCAGATATATTGTCAATAAGAGTATTGTTGTGGTAGATTAATATTGTGATTATTGGCAAAGCTCTAGCATTCCATTCTTTTGCATATAAAATAGACTTGTGCAAGCCTTCAGTGGACAGAAAGACAAACTGGGAGACAAATGTCAGTTGTTAATTTATAGATGCAACCTTTGGTAAAATCTGTGGCCCTCAAACTAAAGTTGAAATCTCAATTTAGACCATTAACCGCTTCCATGATTTGCCTGTCTGTGATGCAAGCGATATTATCCTTCCCAAAACTGACTTGCCTGCACGAGACACTGGCCACTCGTGTTTCATTCTTGATTTGCCTGAATAAATGAATAAAATGTGTTGCACATAGGTATTTTGTTCAAACAAAGTCTATAGAATCAAAATCAACAATAAAAAATTTAATATTTTTGGTTCAATTCATTGCAACAACAAAAACATCTGGTAAGTGATTAAAGATTGACTCTGCAACACTACAGTGAAATTTGGTTGAAGAAATCAAGAATACAAAGATTTCCATAAAATGCTACCATTTTGTTTATATGTGATTGCTAATAAGAGGACTTTCCAGAAATAGGCAATGAAGGCAAGGTTAGATTTTGAGGAAACATAGCAAACTTTGAAGAACACCTGTGTGCTCAGGTTCTCGTTAGCACAATGCATTTCTGTGCACCTGACCACATCAGAACAGACATTACAGGCAGTGCATGGTGATAGATGGAGTTACTCTGCTACATTTCAGTACTCTGTTTATAAAAACTTGAGGATGCTACTGACTCCAATTCATGTTTCATATCACACATGGTGTAAATGTTGCAAATAAAAAACCCAGAGGGAGTTGAAATTTTCCATTTTGGTTCTAGCAAGGACTTCTTGCCAATCCATCCAAAATTCATACACCATATCATCTGCATTATGCTTCTAAAGCCGACTTTCAAAAGGATAAAGAAAACAAACTGTTTAAATTGGATGATTGGTGGTGTGGAAAGTGCTGCACCATGCAAGTCAATCAGCAGGTATCTTTCCTTTGGGTGATCATAAGAAAGTAAAAAAAGTCATGCTGATTACACAAGCTCATAGCTCATACACAAGCAAAACCAAATTCCATCTGATAATAGTTTAGTCCTTAATGCTGCAACAGTGGAGTTTTTTCTGTGTCCTCTACACATTCAGAGGAAGGGGGGTGGGAGTATGCATATATGTCAAAGTTTCACATGATGGGTGTCCCAATTAAAGGTTCTCCTATGTGTAAGGATTAAATTTACACAAAAAGATTTTACTTACTGTAGTTCACATTCAGACCATGTGCTGCATGACTTTCAATTTTTACCTAGAGGCCATCTTTAGTTGTTGAGAAGTAAAATGGCTCTAAAAAGAAAAATGTTTTTGCACTTTATATGTTCATCTGCCCTGCAATATAAATTTTTAATAGGAAATTTGACATGGGTCTCAGCAGCAGGATGCATTTTCCTGAAAACAGCCTCAAAGGTAGAATTAGATCTGGATTCTTGCAGGAAACAAATGAGTTGAATCATGGAATAATTGAATTACTAATCTTATTGTGACTTTCCTGGCATGTTCCACCATTTTTCAACATAGGCGACATCTGATATTTACACCACTTGCCAAGAAGTTAAAGATTTAGCTTCCTGCTGAGTACAACTAATTTACTTGTTAAAAATCGACCAAAAAATGTGTTCTGTCGCTAGTTAAAAATGTGAGAATTGAGACCCATTGTTACAAACATCCTTGTAAGTGCTGGAGTTCAGTTGCAGTTTTGACCAGTGTAGGAAAAAAAAAAAATTTTTCCAGTGAGGTGACAAATTGAAATTTCCCAGGAAGAATATGCAAGCGGGCTGTCCACCTGTGTGTCTCCATTCCCACGAACCCTGTTCACAGGTTTGCAAGGGTTTTCCTAGCCTGGTTTTGACACTAATTTCCACTATGGATAGGAAGAACACCCAAATTGGGTTGGATATAATGGAAAAGCAAACCCCTCAATTGCTGTGACATTCACCAACTTTGGCCACAACAAAAAATACTAGGAAGAAATATGGAAAATCCCACAAAGTGATATGAGAAGATGAATAATCATAAATAATTGCCAAGACAGGGGGTCATCAACACGACCCAGAGTGCTCTAGCTGGTCTCTTCTTGGCTGTTATTGCATTCATTTCCCTTGAAAAGATATTCTAGAGCATCAAAATAGAATTCCAGTAAATAGATATTCAGGGCCTCTGATCAATTGCCCAAGTTTGATATAACAAATACCTACTCATAATAGGATTTGGGTACATGACTTTCTCATTGGTTGGCATTTTGGTTCTGGAAGAAGCTTGAGTCACCATTGAAAACAGACTGTCAGCTTGAACACAATATTATTCATAGCAAGTCCAATGCATATGCTTTCAAACAAGCGTTAAAACCAAGTCTTGAATAAATGACAATGAGACAGTGCCATTCCATTGCTTCCTTAAGAATGAATGAGAATGAAGACATGAAAGAGGGGAGAGAGAACAATGCCATAGTGGGAAAGACAATGCTGAAGACAGGCAGAAGAGCAATCAAAGTCTTGTCCCTCTGTTGTAAGTGAAGATGAATGCAGACAGGGAATGGCCCATCTTCTCATCCCACCTAGAGTCTCTGCTTGAGTCTCATCCTCACAGTCGCTTTTCACTTTGCTATCACAGACAGCTTCAAATTTTTCTGAGACCCAGAAAAGTTATGGGTGAGAGCCACTACTTTGCATGACTTATAATCTGATGCACAGTCATGCACAATACCTTCCGATTCCTATCTTCCACACCCATCAGTAGGTTGGAGGACCTGAAGAAGGCAATGTAGCAAACCAATGAATGACAAATGAACTTCATGGATACAATAAAATCCACCAGATCACTAACCATCATGGAGGAGGTAATTGTAGGCTGAAGAGGGGTTCTGGGGAGCACCAGCAAGTTCCCCAGAACGTTGGGTCCCACCTTGAGAGCAATTGAGGAAGTCCCAGATGAGAATTGTGTCATCATGAGAACTGCTCACTATCTGGAACTCATCGAACTGAAGTCTGAAGACACGACCACTGTGTTCCTGCATGAGATGTATGCGTATCACTCTTTGTATGTACTGTAAAAGCTTTGATTCAGAATAAGGCTTCTGAAAGCATGAAAACCACACGGTGGACTGCTTATGAGACTTATCAATTGTAAACAAATATCACTTTCACAACTGAGGTGATGGAATCCTTAAAAAATCCCCAAAAATAAAGCATTCAATTTATTAGAACATTCAATTGATCAAGCAAATTATTCTCAATACATTAGCCTGAAAACTACTTTGCAGCCATTAAACCACTCACCACAAGGGTGCGAAGGCAAAGTGTTGCTGGTGGTGCCCTTGGATCTAGAGCTGCCTTCAAGTCCCACACTTTGATTTTCCTGCAGGGAAATAGTCAAAATTGAATTTTGAAATTGTGATGCAACATGCAATATTCATAAAGGATGGAGTAGGAGTGAAGCTCACCCATCATAGGCTCCACTCACTATCCTCTTGCTATCAAACCTGATGCAGCGCACCAGTTCCTCGTGCCCTTCAAGGATACGCAAGCAGGAGCCTGTCTCAATGTCCCACAACCTTGAACATCAGATAAAATGCAGTACAGGTTTCAGGAAATCGCAAGAAAGAGTGCAATTTGAGTTCAGTATATATGGAACCACTGTTATGAGAGTAGTGCACCATGGAATACAGAAATTACCTAATGGTGTTGTCCGAGCTTCCTGATACAACCAATCTATCCCTATACTGGAGGCAGGCAATCCCCCTCTTGTGGCCATTCAAGGTTCTCACAAATTCACAAGAGGAGGTATTCCAGACTTTTATGGTTCTGTCACCAGAGGCCGATACAATGTATTTCTCATCAAAGTCCACCACATTCACTGCAGCTCTATGACCAACCAGGACACGCCGTAGATTGATTTCAGATGGGGAAACCATGTCCCAGACTGCTATAGAACGATCCTATTTGGAAATAGCAAACAGCATATGAGAGATAGAGTATAAAATACCAGCAATGAATAACTTCTTACAGAAAGAGCAACATGCAATTCCAATTGAGGGTAATATTTAACTCTTCACATTAACTTTTTAAAATAATAGGAATGCTGAATTTAATTTTCCCCACTTTCAACAGTTTTCAGCATTGTATTATTTGGAATTTTGGCCAAGAAGAAAGTGACACCATCTTTGTCAGTTTTCTGCTGTCAATGTACATATAAGGTGGTTAAAATAAAGCAAACCCCCCCTGCCAACAATGGAATGAAAATTTTATATATAGGACATAATGCCTCTAATATCATCCACATCAATTGCAAAAGTCACGACCACTGGGTTTTTTTTATTACACTGCATAATGATTGGACACATCAAAGTCCTATCACTATAAAATAATCTGTTTGTGTTTACAAATCAGTCATTGGCCTTGAGAGGAAGAACTTTCTGCCCTTTTAGCTTTACTTCTTTTCTTATACTAAAGGTTATATTTATGTCATTTTATGACCATGTTCCAAAAAAGAATACTTGTATTGAATTTTCAGAAGAATTTTGGCTAAGGCATGAAACAATGGTGTCACCAAGATAAAGGTAGAGGATTTTCCAGAGGTAAGATTGGAATTAGTAATAATGCCTATTCAGTTTATATGATAAAAAAAAAGGTTCCTCACTGTCTATTTAAAATACTTTGCTGTGATTATTTTTCATTCCAAAAACTACAGCATCTATAACATGGGGAAAGTACAGTTTTGTGAAACCAGCATGAAGAGCTTAACAACAGTGCAATATTATACACAAAGCAGATACAAACCTTTGAGCATGTGACCATCATCCCATTGTTGAATCTGAGGTGGAGAACAGCTTCACAATGATGAAAGAGTGTCTTCACCATTGCTCCTGTGTTGACGTCCCAAACACGCACAGTTGAATCACTGGACCCACTAATTATCACCTGATCATCATATTGTAAACACAGCACTGAACCGGTGTGGCCTGTGAGAACCTGAAAACACAGAATACCTTCAGGGTTCCATAATAGTTCCAATACTCCTTGCTGCAACATAATTAAAAGATTACACACCTTGGTGCATTGCAAGGTACTACGTTCCCAGATCTTGATGGTATTGTCTCTGAGACCAGAGACGATCTTCTGATCATCATATTGGAGGCAGTAAACTCCCTTTGAGTTTTCAGATCGACAATTGATTCTCTGAAGCGTGTGACGACCACTTCTCCAGTTGTATTCGATGTTCTGATCAATAGAAAAACCAAAACAGGGCCTGTTCATTAACCCTTCAAGCAGCTTTCACATACACCATACATTCAGGTCAGGTCAAAACTCAGTGCTTGAAGGGGTAAAAACAAAAAATAAAGGAGATGGAGGTATTCCTCACATCCCTAACACCATCACAGCACTCCATATATTAGAGTGACCACTCCTAATAATACACTCTAGTGCACTGTATTGGTGATAAAATGCTGACATAAGAAGCCAAGGGGCAGGCCAACTGCATCAACAAGTCTGTTCATTACCTCAATATCTTGCATGATGGTTGGATACAAGCTCCTGTAAAACTTATGCCCTTGGGGTTTCTCTCCAGGTCTTGGTTTGAATAAGTACTTGATCCTGTTCAGAAATGATGAAAATAACTAAATTGCAGGCATTGACAAACCACAGGGATACCTAATTGAATAATATTGTCTGCTCACCATGCCCTCCTTTCTGCAAGACCTCTCCAGAGTGAGTCAGTCCGGACTTTCCTCTCAATGAGTTTCTTCCAGAGGCTCCCATCGGCAATGACTCTTGACCACTCTTTAGATACTAGTTCTGCAGCACATAAGGACTTTGCATCGAGGTAGCTCAAGATGTTTTCAGCAATATGGTCCAAATTTTGCTCTGAAAACAGGCACATGCATGCATAATGAATATCACATCAAGAACAGTACCCAACATCTGATGTAAGAGTATGAATGCTCTCCTTCATAAATTGAATGCCAGTAAGAAAAACTATGTAGGGAATCATTATAAAACAAGCAAGCATGAACTATAAGAGAACGTCCTTGCTGAAAATTTATAAAAAGAATTTCACTCTGTGGCTCCTCTGGAAGCTCTTCCCTCTTCTTTCAAAGCAAAATAATAACAATTAATGGAAAATTAATTTTAATTGCAAGGGACCTACATCAGAGGAAAAAATCCACTGCAATGTAAAAGGATGAGGAGCCAACATAGAAAAGGTGTTCATTTTCCTTGTAACACAAACAACAGATTTTAGAGCAAGATCAAGTTCCTTCTCATGCTAGCAGTACAAAGGGATATAACTATGATGCACATCTACTAGAATGATACTCTATGTAGGTCTATATAAAAACAGATACATTGCTTCTCAGTAACTTTTTTTTTTACATTACTAGACAAGTTTACAAATCAAAATTTAGAAATGGACTTATTTCTGGAAAAATTGTTAAAAGAAAAAAAAAACTCCATAGTACATTGTCAATATACTGTAACACATTTTTCTCACCCAATGGAGAAGATATGAAGAAACTACCAATTAGATCAAAGTTATGGAGGGGATTTCCTGCAATGGGAGCTGGTTTCTCCCTCATAACTCCTCCATTTGGGCACTGGTAATATCAGTCAGTGAGAAAATATTTACGTGGTGTAGACTGCAAAACCAATCCAAAGTGATAAGCATTGGATGTTAGATAATTCTTTTGAAAAATTATGTTTGATGGGCCTTGGTCCTTTTCAAACGAGAAATTGAAGTTATACATCCATATGCTGTTATTGGAATCCACTCCAGAGGCCATTGCTGAAAGTAATACTAAAATTCAAGATCTTGAGTTGGAGATTCTTCCATGTGCAGCACCGTAGCATGTCTTCTGTTAATATGAGAGAGTGTGGAGATAAGTTAATCTTCATTGTTAGCAAGAAACACTGGAAAAAGCTATAAGAATGCCTCTTCTTGGAAAAACCTTAAGAGTCATGAGCAATTATTGTTTTCAGGGTGGCATCTTTTCAATGCAAAGCTCTTGAGAAGACAAGAATGAACCTGATAGATTCAACTCCTGAAAATAGAGGAATCAATTCATGGTGTCATGACACTCTGAACAGGAAATATTTTTTTTTATAAGGAAATTATAGAGATTCAGTAGAGCAAAGGTAACTCTCAAAGTCATTTTAAAATCTTTTATATTGTCCTATTTCTTGCTGATAGTCTGTCATACCTAATACAGGGTGATCCAAAAGTCACACACACCAACCATATAGACATACTTTTTCCAGTTTACAGAAATCGTTACAACCATAGACTCACTACATTGCAACACTGGTGAAGAGTGAAAACCTTGGACATTGCATTCACAAATGCAGCAGCTTCACCTTGACTGGCCATATGGCCTCAGTTCTTAGTTCTTCCTTGAAGAAGGATGCTGCTCTTGCAACAACAGCACATGTTTATTCTTGAACATTCTGAAAATGTGGTAAAGCAAGTTTATGCATGTTATCAAGAATGTGGTGGGCATTTCCAGCACATTCTATGACTATCTGGAGTAGTAGTGTTTCCAGGATATTTTGTTTGGTGTGCATGACTTTTGGATCACCCTGTATAAAAAGACCTGGCTCATAACCCAGATATACCAACCCACTTGCCTTGGCTGGATTATTGAAAGATGAAATCAAATTCTACAAAAAATAACATGATTGGGCCATCAGAAATCAACCAGCCACCCATAATTATTGCATATCCAAATAATGAATTGATATTGGTCACGTTTCAATTCTCCACAGCATGAAACATGAGCAATATCTTGTTTACAAAGAAACTGATTATCATGGCTCTGAACTATAACTGGGAATGCCACCTTTATCTCACAATGGACAGTTGCACTTGATTTAGAACAGAAAAACAAGTAGGACAAAGTGAGTACATCCACACATACTACCATATTTACTCATGTATAAGGCGCATTTTTTAAACATATTTTCCTGCGATCGATGAGTCTTATACTCGGGGAAAAAAAAAAATTTTTTCGAAAACATTTTTTCAACGTACCTATAACTCATTGGTCATTTATTTAGATGGAAACAGTATCAACAGGCAGTCGGAACAGTGAAATTATAAAAATAACATGCAAACTGTCGCTTCCTGAATCACTTTGAGTTTTTCACCAGCAGTGTAACTTTGCCATTCGTTGCCCATTTTCACGGATAATGAAATGTGTCGGAGAGACTGATACGTGCCCCGTCACACAAGGTTAGGAAAGTGAAAGGGAAACGAGGCTCAACCGATCTTTCCCTTTCCCATCCCCCTTGTCCCTGAGGACGTCCCTCTCGCTACGAAATATGGGGGTGCGCCTTATACACGAGGAATCTTTTTTTGCACGAAATGGGACATCAAAAGTGGGGGTGCGTCTTATACACGGTGGCGCACTATACTGGAGTAAATACGGTAATTTTGTGACTAACCTATATGAGGAACAATGTACCTGCACTATTCATATAGCATGACAGCATGACAAAAAGCTCATATTACAGAAACTGACCAGGCAGGAGAGAGATGAAATCCCTTTGAAGCATAGGCTTCAGGAATGTATTTATGTGACCATGCTGGTAATGGCACATGTGTGACAGGAGGTGTTCCACAAATTCAATTTGTTCCTGGAAAGGGAGAAAAAAAGCCAATGATGAAATACTTGTACAAAAGGCAAATGGGAAGAAAGGACTCTTGGCATTTATATACCTATATTGCCCTAAGCCTAAATACCTCCCCCTCTGCAAATCCATTGTAACAAGAGGATGATATCTGACAAAAGGCACAAAGCACTGTAGTGAAATCACTTCTGTACATAGTCAAGCCTCTTACAAGATTTATATTCATTAAGCCCTTACTGGTAGAGCTGATGGCATCCTTTTTCATTTTGTAATATTGAGATCAATGCCAAAGCTCTGAGAATCATGACAATGGGAAATCTCATTCATGCAGAAATCTAATGTCGTTAGATTCTGCATGGAATAACAGAATAATTTTCTGCTGTTAACTAAAGATAAACATTTTTGCAACCAATTGGCCACATCTACCACTGAATGACTCACAAGTTAGATTAATCAAAGCAGATAAAAAATGAACAGCAATAGACCTATCTCTTATTCCCATCCTTGATTGAAAGGACTTTCAATGGAAAACACTAATATTCGAGGAGTCAACTTTGAAATGAACAGGATATGATGAGGTGAAGTTGTTAAATACAGTGATTGGCTGAAATAGTTGACAATTCTTCTAAATGATTGTATTCTTTCACATAATGAGTTGTAGCATACAGATAGTTTGACCTCTCAGTTTACTTATTAGGATCCAGTGGAAAGTGTACATATGAACAGGTCCAATGCATGCAATACCATAAAACATGGTGACTTGATAAATTACTAGTGTATTCTAAGTTTTGGGTTTGTCAACTTTTTCCTTAGAAACAGAATAACATGAAGACATTTCCTATTAATCCACAAATAGTTGCATCAATGAAGAAAACTTTTTTTTAAATCTAAGCATAAGTTATTTAACAATCAATTATAATATTTCCAAAGTCTTGTTTTTTTTTGGGAGGGGGAAAAAAACTATAGATATAACTTTCAGACCACTTCACAATGAAGATAAAAAAGTTTAACCATTCAATGTGCATTAATTAAGATATTTTTCAGAAGCTTAATGCCAAAGCATAAATTATTTTTTTTTAAACTAAAGAAATCTCATGGAAACTGATACATCCACAGCAACACACTGAGGAATGTGGGGAGGTACCTCTACTTCAGGATGTAAGTCCAGAATGAGATAAGAATTCCAGTTCCCACTTTTCTCTACAGCTCTTCCAGTCTGTGTGACAGTCTCAGTAATTGCTTCTGTTTACACTGTTGCATTGGATTAAGTTCATGGGCTCAAGTCAGTTCTTTTTACCAGATGTATACAGAAGACAGGTTTGGGAAGAAAGAAAGGACAATGAATTTGTTTGGCTGATTGTGCCTGACATTTCAATGGTTTATCTATAATGAAGTGGTAGGAAAACTGGAAGACCTGCTGGAACTCTATCAGGGAACACTACAGTTTCCTTCTCTTTCTTTGCATAGGATTTACAAGTAGTGCAATCATCTGCTTTTATTGAGTGACTTGATACATCCACTAAATTGATCACTGAATCAATAATTCAAAATGAAAATGTTCATGCTCCAATGAACTTGAAGGCTGGACCTAGATGTAACTTATAAATCATTCAATGCCATATTTTCATTGTTATGCAATATTAAAGTTCAAGATTATCAAGTCATATGGACCAAACCAGGCCTGGGTTACTGGTTCAGATCCCAGTAGGCATACATTATGAAATCAGTAGAGCTCATGTTCTTCCCACTTTTCAAGATGGAACACGAATTCCTTGAATTAGCATCCTAGTAGAAGCTGGAGATTTTGTGATATACTGCAAACCCTAGTCACTCATGGGTAGCAGCACTACATATTCCCAGTTAAAGTATTCATCACTTATTTCTTCCATTTTTACATCAATATTCTTGTCAAAATATGGTCATCTTTTGTGTGTTGGAAACCTATCCCCCTATCTCTTATAAGCTCTTAGTATTGGCATTTGCAGTTTCCCCACTCGCTGGTCTCACAAACATATCCACCACAAATGGCGAGGGCCTGCTGTATATGCTTCTTTCATGGCTCCTTCAGGGTGGGACAGATGGCTTCTCTTGTGGATTTCCATGCAGGCAATACAACTCAGAAAAGGAGAGCAAAGCATTCCAACTCATGGGGCCATTCTTATTTGATGTAGATAAATTTTAGGTGGATGATTCCCAAGAGACATGGAGAGGTAAGAAAAAGGTGGACTTCACAAATCCAATGCTATAACACTGAGGGTATTGACACTCACCTGCTCATTCCAGCTGCGGAAATACTCCATACAAGATTTCCTTTGCAGGTTAAAATTGGCAGTGGGGTCCTTCCTCTTCCCTCCTGCATTTTCATGTAAGCTTGTCATCTCAACCTGTAATAAGGGTATGACACTGATGAATTCAAGTGCAGGGTATGGTTCCAACATAGATTCAAAGATACACTCAACATCACCATTCAGTTATTGTAGGTGATCTGAAGAAAACTCACTTTCAACAACTTAGTGCATGTTAACAAATAAAATTTTAAAGTTTTCACTGAAACAGCTAATGGAACCTGAGGCCTGAATTTAGAAAAATAATAAAAGAATGAGACCAATTAATTCAAATCTGAATTGCAGTTAGCACCTGTAGGAGAAGTGAGATGGTACTCAAAGATATGGGAAGAAAATAAATATTCCTGCTGATTCTTGCACAAAGAAAGTGAATATCTGAGCATGTACCCCAATTTATATCCTGAGCATATGCCATTCATTTTTTGCTTTTATTCAGTGCATATGTACATAATACACACTCAGCATTTTATCCTTGGGTTCCACCAACTACAAAAGGGAAAACTTGAAACATTAACCCCTTGGGTGGGGAATTTCTCAGCCTACCACTGGAGTCAGAAATTATTTTCACAAGAATAACAATTCATGTTTGTATAAGAAATTTACCACTCTTTCTTGAGTTTATACTCCTATTTTGAGTTTCAAATTCATATTTAACTCAATCTTAAAAAATTATGGGATGGAAAAAAAAAAAAGCCAAACCCTCAAGGAGCATTTCACCATGATGGATATGTCATACCCACTGAAGGGATTATGCAATTGAGCCTTCTCTGGGTGATTCTTAATATGTCTATCTCTATAGTTGCGATGTAATTCCTCAGGTACTTAAGGGCTAAGTGACTCCCAAGAAAGCAACTTTTTCCCTTTATGCCTGGTTCCTTATACAAATTGCATGCCCAAGAGCATGCAATTTGAGTCAACCATGTTGCCTATGTGGATTGCTTATGTTTCTTTTATATTGCACTGAGCCTTTAGCCATGGATGAATATGTAAATATTAACCTTCAACTTATGCCCTCTGATATGAAAGCAATAAATAAAGTTAATATTATTTGTAACTAAAACTTTTTTTAAATGCTGGCAGTACTTTATTACTGCTTGTAATCAATACTTTTTTTTTCCTTAGTCTGATTAGTTGTATGATATTTGATGGATCCATTTCTTGAATTTACTAAGTAAAGTGTATTTTAATTTTAATGTCCACTGTAATTTATTTTACCTCCATGATGGTCATACTCAACATATTAAGAGTGAAATCAATGTTTGCAGATAATGGTAGAGATGAAGCAAAAATGTTGCCAAATGCAGCTGCAAGACTTTTGGCTTCGCCTCAGGTAGCTATGGCTTTTCTCTATTATTTCCCATTCTCTGTCCTTTGAAAAACCTTATTTTCTTGCTCTCACTTGAAGCCATTACTCCAATACTGGCTAATATTCTGGTAATTTTGGTCTACTCTTCTCCCTGCTGTCAGAAATCCAGATCTCCCAAACAAAAATGGCAGTTCAAGAGGAGATGCAATCCTTAGCATGTAACATTCTCAATTACCCATCAGATCCTATGCCTAATCCACAGGGAATAAATAATTAAAATCACCATTTATAAGGTAATGAATTTTGCCATATCTGAATCAAAGCAATTGTGCAGGGTTCCACAGATCAGGAATTAGACACTCATGAAGCATTCCTAGGGGGAAGGGAGTATGAAATAGATCTGGAAACAGTGTAAAATGTGTCATAAGTTTAAATTTACCAGACTCAAACAATCCCTGTTCCAAGTGACAAGAATGGCAGCTTTCCAGCAATTTATACAAGGCCTAGAAATTTTAAAGTTTTCTCAAGCCATCCCTAGGTTTCATACTTAACATATAACATAGATAAGTCTGAAATAAAGAATCACTTGCCTGCTGGGAAAGGACAGTAGGGGACATGGGCATCTCTGATGCAGTTGGGCCTGACTGCATGCTGACGGAGCTATCATCGTCAAATGCTATTTCCATTTTTGTAGTGATCTTTCATGAACTCTTCAGTGAAATCCAGATAATTATGATATCAGAGATTCCAAAATAAACACTAGGCAAGAGCCTACACTGAATTTCAAATAACATCAAAAGGGCCCAGAGGAATGGCCTGAAGAGATCATGTAGGCCCACCTACTGCACAATCAAATCAGCACATCACCAATCATAATCTAGGTTTATATTGAGAATAATTTGTCTTGAAACATTCCTAGCAAAGCAAGTTAGAGCAAAGACAAAGCCTATTAAAAGTGGGTGTAAGTCTAATCAATCATGAAAATCATGAGTCTTTTTCATGGATCCTATAGGCAGATATGACATCTATCTTGGAACATGGGGTTTCTCAGAGGCTTAACCTCCTTAGCATTATTTTATCACATTATTGTTTTCACCCCAGGGCCAGGACCTCTTTCCATTTTATTCTTTGCTGTAAAGTTGAATTTCATGTACATACAAGTCTGAATAAAATGAATGCTAAAACTATTGAGGAAGACATTTCATTTACTACTTATCTTGGGTTTCTCAGGTGTACTGCCAAGAAGTGCACAAAGAACTACAACCCCAAGATTCTTAGGGTAAACATTAAGGAGATTAAACCAAGTCTAACATCAAGAATTTGTGCTTATTTTCACTTGGCAACATGTCCTTTCAATCAATCTATCAAGAGACAGCAACTCAGTTAATATACATCAAATTAAAAGACATAATAAAAGTAGGTTTCACCATATCACAGGTAATTATAGGTGCATAGGCCAAAGGATATGTTCAAAATGGATTACATAGATAACTTACTTGAATTTAGAACACTCCATGCCTTTTAAAGTGACTTTAAAGAACTCTTAATTTTAGCCAAAACCTACCCCATGGGAGAGAGATTCCCTTCATTTTTTTTTAAATTAGGATAACTTCAATATGTACCTAGGACTACTAAGTGTCTCCTTGAGCATTGGCAACAATAGCACCAGGTAAGGAAGGTGATAGATGTCAATTCAAAATCCCTATATATCCTCTCTCGTTTGTTTTATTTCTCCCCATCAGAGATTACACTTTAGGATTCATGAATAACCACTGATGGCAGTGGCACATTAAACCATCATGACAGCATTCATGTTTAAGCCTGAGAACTCCTTTACATTGTTTTCTAATTGCTTTCTCCCCCTCCCAAGTGCTTCCAATTGAAGAAAATTATATCTTACAAAAGCTTGGCTTTCTGGATCACCCAATGAAACAATTTTCCATAAGTAATATTTTCTCCGTTACTCCGTTACGTGAGGGGGGGGAATGAATTCAATCTGAAAGTGGAGGTTCATTTGAACAACACAGGGCTCATCTGAATAACAAAACTAATTTTAAATTAGCAGACATCTATTTGCCTAAACATCATCCAATGAACAAAATGAACGTTATGGCTGTTTTTTGGATATCATAGGCCTAGACCCTATTAGATGGGGCTCACGTTTGGCTTAATCCACCCCAGCTCTTTCAATATATTATAAGATTAGGTCCTAAGCTAGGCCTACACAGAAACCTACTCTATGTTTATGGAAACGTCCCTCTCTTTTTGGTTGGAAAATGACCGTACTAACACACAATAACAAAAACGTGGTCTAGCCAAGGAATGATTCAGCCCTAACGTCTAAGGTCTAAACTCCACCTGAAGTTGAACGCAGACCCACGGTTCTTCTAAACTCGAAAACTAATTTTCATTTCAAGGGAAGCATTGGTAGAAAAAAAGTCACGTTAGTCGCGCAACTAATAACTGAGAAATGGTTTACGTCCTTCTATGTAGGGCTTCGCTGACCCTGCCCGAAAACCACGAGAAACGGTGGCCATCTTGAATGTTGAAGGCCACTTTCTGGGATCACCAGAGCCACCTTGTAGCGGGACAGAGCAGTTCAGTGATTCTCGATTGAGTGCACCCTCCCTGACCCGAACGACAGAAGGCCAGGGAGAGCGATCCGTGTGAGTCAGTGCAAGTATCAAGGCTGTTAAACCCTGCATGAGCTGGGTTGCCACACCCCCGCATACCCTATATTCGACCAAGGCCGGTGGACAATGCATGGAATGCATATGACACGAAAGAGGATGTGACCATTTCTCTCCCCCCCTCCGGCAAAGGCTTTTTTTTTCTTTTCATCGCGAAATATTTTTCACCTGAAGTTCGTTCAGGAGAGAAAATTTTCACATTCCCAAAAATTCCATTATTTCTCGCAAATTTTTTTTCTTACCGACTTAACAACTTCCACTGTGATGAATTTTCTTTTGGAGAATTTCCAAGCGAAGCATATGTCAAGATTGCACTCTACAGAGTGCTTTCTCATTTAGAACATTTCCCTCAACTTTCTGGCTGTCGCAGGTCAGCTCTAGAACTTTTTATGCATTATTTGCACCTTGGGTATTGTGCATTGCACGGGACCGCCATCATTCACAAGAAACAGGAAGTCAATTCTGTAAATATGTTTTCATGAAAGGGACATCAAGAAACGTGCTTTGAGAGTTCATCAGGCTTATCACGTAAAGCAAAAAAAAAGTAGTCGAGGCTGTTCTCAAGTCTTTCCGGCGCCCTATCGCTCCGACATCAATGTCAGGGGCCTGGAAAAACGAACAATGACTTGTCCCGATGGATCACCATAGAAAGCCTGCATCGTGTAATGTCGGAATTTGATTTCGCTCTCGTCTGTGACGAGCTTCAGTCCGATATTCAGTCCAACGAAAACTGCATACATGCCGATACAATTGGCAGAATGGCAAGTTTCTGGACGTTCGATATCGTAAACTATCTTGGGCAGTCGGCAAGAGTGATAACGCTGGATTTTTTTTTTTTTTTGCTCGTCTGCCAATTGGTTCATCGAAGTAAACGGCACGTAATAAAATTTTTCCGTTAGAAACATCGAAGGGAATTCTTCCCCAGTCAAATCTCCACTTACGAGCGCCCTTAAGAGTCTCATAGATTTAATCTTCATCCGTACAAAAATTCCACCGTTGAGTCATCGGTGATTCAACGGTGAATCACCAGCGGAATTAGGTTCAACAGGAAATCAACGGTGATTCAACAGCGAATCACCGTTGATTTTCAACGTGTTGAACATTTTTGTAAGGGACGAATTTAAATCGGATCTAGAGTTTCCCCAGAACCCAGGAAATATTTATACTCAGCTGTGGTGCAACCATGAGCATTTCTTTTCGCTGCAACTTCAAGGGGGCATGGTTGGCAAGGGAAGGGAAGAAAGGGGGTGAGAAGGAAGGGGAAGGATGGGGGGAATTCGTGATCTCACAAGCTTTCTGCCGACGTAAAAATGTCGACGCAATTAAGTTTTCTTCACAATTTCCGGATTGCCTTTTTTTATTCCTGAATTTTCAAGAGGTATTACACACTCATAAGAAAAGCGGTAATAGCAAAGGAATGCATGAGAAACAAGTGGGAGGGAAGGGGGGAGGGAAGAAGGGAAAAAACTTCGCATTTTTGTCTCCATCACATAGCGAGTTTGGGGAGCACTCCCTCTCCCTGAAAAATTCCCTCAATTTGCAACATCAACTTGTTCAAAGGTGTTACCCAGTGGATTTTTTTTTCGTAAGACATTCTTTCAACTAACGTGTTTAAGGGCATCCAATATTTAATAAACTTTTCCGTCGGACCTTTCCAATAGCTTCTCTTGTTCAAGTCCTTCAGCTTGTACCAAAAAAAGGGGTCAATGTTAATGGAAATTTTTTTTTCCCGTCTCTACAATTATAAATATATAGTACTTGGAAAGCACTAAGATTGTGTTTAGTGCTCCAGGGTCCTTATCACATCCAAATATGCACTCAATCCCATTCGGGTTTCTTGAGAGGCAGCTTTCAGACCAGTCGGATGAAAGTGACCATTGCTGTTTCACAAGGACGCAATCGTAAAAAAGAAGAAATACATATATTTTTATGGTTTCAGGGTGTCTTTTACAAAATGAACAGGAATCATTCTCAATTTTTTTATCTTCATAAGCCAAGAGCTTACCTCGAGTGTTCTATGCATAATTTTGTATCGAAAGGAGCGAAACTTTTTGGAGGATACAGAAAACAGTCTTTTACGAAAATTGGACCACGCACTATCGTCGAATTCGGTGTCTAGACACTTTTTCCCATTTCCTCCTTGCTGTGTCCTCTGCTCGTAACACACTCAGGAAGCCATCACAAACCGAGCGATTGCATTCTTGCTTCGTGCTCAGGATCTCTATTGGATACAGGAGTAAAGGTTGCGTTTTAGTCTTTCTGTTTCTGAGGACCGATCACTGGATCTTGGTTATGATTTTAGAACGCTGTGATAAAGTAACCAATTTCCTCTTGCCCCGTATATATTTTGAAAGGCTTTCCAAGGGAGAGTATTTCCTTCCTGATCCAAAAGATCGTTTACGAACCTGACTCCTTGGCTGTCCCATTCCTTGATATGGAACGGTTTACCCCCCCCCCCCCCTTTCCCCCCCCCCCTTCCCAACATACTTTGTAATTGTTCCATAGAGTCAAGCCCTTTCATTGATTTATTTTGGAAGGAGATGTTTTCGACATCCAATTTTTCCATTGAGAAACGACGTTCTTCCAAAAAGGATTTTTGACAACTTTGATGAGTTTGTCAATCGCTCTGGAATCTCCCAAATCTATCAACTCCGCTTCTCTTAAGTTTTGGATTGCTCAGAAACGCCATGTGGAGTCTCTGTCGTCTCGTCATCAGTCGCTGGAGCGAAGTTATTTTCATGGTTGCATCAAAGTTGGCAATATGTGGTATATTTAATCCCCCCCCCCCTCCCAGGTCTCTGCACCAAAAACCTCTTAACTCTGTCTCTCGACACGAAATTGAATAATAGTTTATTTATGCGTTTCAGTTTTTTTTTTTTTTTTTGGGGGGGGGGATAGAGGGTAAGATCAGGAAATAGTGGATTAGCTTCGGGAATACCAATGTTTTCACGACCGTAGCTTTCCCTATTATTGATAATGGCCGCCAAAATATTTATATACTCAGCTGTGGTAATACCATGAGCGTTTCTTTTCGCTGCAACTTTAAGGGGGGCATGGTTGGCAAGGGAAGGTAAGAAAGGGGGGGAGGGGGGGATATTCGTGATTTCACGAGCTTTCTGCCGACGTAAAAATGAATATTGTCAACGCAATTAAATTTTCTT